TAAACCAGGACCCTGGCACCATCAGCTATACTTAAAGCACTACCCTTGACTTGCTGTGCCTCACCATCAAACTTGACAACTGAAATATCAATGCCGTCCCAGACTCAATGTGCCTGTTCATGTTATAATCTAGACACTCAGCCATACCTCCTACTGTCCAGGGACAAGCCCTACAGCCAAGTCAATCCCTCTAGCATGCATCCAACCTGATTCTGGCTTTCTCATCTTTCCCACTTGCCCAGTAGCATCCCAAAATGCCTCTCAGGCAAGCCCTTCAGAGCTGTACCCCTTTATGTAATGATGTTTACTTTGAATTTATATTAGTTCACACAAACACTCAGGAAATAAATAATGACCCACTAGCCTATAATTTACTTTTTTCCAGACTATTAGCTCTTTGGGAACAGAGTCGTTGTCTTATTCAGCATTTTTTTAAAAAGTTTTTTGAGCATCTGGCCATTAGTAGACTTTCAAAGATATTTGCTACATGAATGAATGGATGACCACAAACACTGTATGGCTCTTTCATCATTATCCAAACTTCATGCTGCTCTCCTAACTTATTTCTTTTTGAGATCTGGGTTCTAAATGAGGAGGAATAAACCCAACTCCTGAGGCAACTGATTTACTTTTGTGTTAATTTCTCTAAATTTTGGTGCTGGAGCTGATGGCAAAGGTTCTCCATAGCAAGAGCCAGGAAATAGTGTAGACAGAAGGGAGACAGTCTTCAGAGAGATTGTGTTGAAAATACACTTTGCTATTGTAAGCCAAAGTGTGCCACGTGCATAGATGATATTATCATGACTCCAATCTTCATTCATCTGAGATTCTAAGTTCTTTCAAAAATTGCAAGAGTATTATTAGAAGATTCCATTTGAATCCAATATTATTTACTAAACGTCTGATAGGAAGCAGTGAAATGAGTTCCCAGACGTGAAATAAATGTCTCCTGAGAAAAGAGCTCTTCCTCAGCTGATAAACAGGTACAAGAGCCTTTAAAGTTTGGAATGAAGAACCGCCAGCCTTTGGCAGTGGTTCTGAGACTCTGAGGAGGTATCACTCACCAGCACAGTTCCCCATGAGGTTGAGGAACTGCTCTTCCTTGCAGCTGGTCCTGCAGTTTCCAGCATTAATAGTGACATGAGGGTGACAGGAAATGCAGTCAGATTCGGATGGGCCATGGCACTGCCTGCAGGTGGGGTGGCATTCTAGGGGGGAAAAACAAGAATCAGGATGGGAATTAGCAGCCCAGCATGTAAATACATGAAATATTTTATGAACTCCACAAATTATATTCAGAACACAACTCAAATAACTGCTCATCTTTTCTTTCTTTTTCTAAATATTTTTTTTACTAATTTCAGAGAGAAGAGAAAGAGAGAGAGAGAAACATCAATGATGAGAATCATTGATTAGATGCCTCTTGCACCCCCTACTAGGGATAAAGCCAGAAATCAGGCATATGCCCTCACTAGGACCTCCTGGTTCATAGGTCGATGCTCAACCACTGAGCAACACCGTTCAGGCAACACTACTCATTTTTTGAAGATTCCTGATCAAGCCTGATGTATCCTTAGGCCTGACCAAGAGAATGCATTTTTGGAGTCAATGAAAATGCCATCCATGAATAGAACATGGAATCTAGAACCATAAAAATTCGAGTAACTGGCCACACATTCCAAGGGGGCCAGCATGACCATCCCCATCTACGGAAATAAGAAAGTGAATATCAAAGTGACAAAACAGAAAAGTGAGTGGTAAGACTCCCCCGCCCCAAAACATCCGGATTCAAAGGCAGCAAGGCAGAGAAAAGAGGGAGACTTTGCTTCCCACAAACTCCTGACAGGCAAAGGGGAAACTTTCTACCGCAATGGATACTGAACCTTCTCACTAGAGTCAGGTGGCACAACTTGGATGCCTGTTTTAGTAGCAATACTCCATTAAAGTACAGAGAACAGAAAAAGCCCTCTTCCTGGAGGTTATCATGAGCTGCGTTTGAAGTTCAATTCCTTAGACAAAATCATGCCAAAGTTATGTTTTCCCCAGAAAAAACACCAAATTCACAAAAGGCACTACACTGGAAGAGAACCAAGTGAATCACAGTAGGTGTGGGCAATAAAGATAAGGATGGCAAGGAATAAAAGCAGGTTGCAGCTGCAGCTGCGTGCGCACTGCCAAGGCAGCAGCAGGAGTGAGCGCAGAGAAGGAGATGTGAGGATCTCTCTGCCAAGGACCAGGAGGTCTAAGCATGTCTGGTTCCAAGAGGAGGGGAGCTGGGTAGCACTTGCTGGAACTGATGACAAAGAATTCCCTTCTGGCACAGAGCTGGTGAAAAGCAAAGGCATGGATTTCAAATAAAATCACCTGCTTCTCACTTCTTCTGGCAAGAGACCAAAAGAAGATAAGGAGATATATATATATATATATATATATATATATATATATATATATATTCAAGCGAGAAAATGAACTGCTGATTAGGCTTGCATAAACAGCACCCCTTCTACATTCCTGAGGCTCTGAACTTTGAAAACGCCCATCCCAGAGATACTAGTGTTCTCAAGATGGTTTCCACCTGCCGAGTCGCCTCCCTGCCAGAATATTTCCAGTGACCTTGTGACCCTGGCCCTTGTGGTACCATCCACCCACTGGCTTCAAGCAGGCAGAGGCACAGGCAGAGAGGAGTCAGAGCTACTCAGACTTTACTCCCCAAACCACTTCACACACACAAACCACTGGGCTAGTGTGAAAGTGCAGGACAGACAATGGTTTTCAAGGACACCACCAATGACAAACCAGAAACACTCCCCTCTGAGCATGATAGAGAGTTTAAAGGAAAGCAACCCATCAGGGGCCTGGAGAGATTAAAAAGGTACTTGGAAGAAGAAAATTTCAGAAGAAATATCATATTGATCTTCAATCATCTAAATCGGTGTTCACATTAAATTTCCTCTTTGGAGTTTGAGGCTAGAGGAATCTAACAAGTATTAATTTATCTTTAAAATATTTTACAAATTTACTACATGCTTTCCGACTCTAGAAATACATGTAATACAATTTCATAACAGTGGGCTTTTTCCTATAAGCTGGTGTCAACAAGTCTATTATTAGAAATAAAACAGTCATCATGATAGAATGTGTTTAGTCTTCTTTCCCCCTGTAGATACAAGAAAACACAGTGCTACAATGAGGTGCTTACATTTTAGCATTTTGTCAATTCCAATTAAATCCCCGCACTAATCTCAACTAGTAATTTCTAGACTCTCTGTCACTGAGACATGAAAGTGCTCTTAAAAACATATGGGACAGTCTCTCTAAAAATAAACAAACAAACAAAAAACCACATATGGGATGGACCTGTCAAGGAAAAAAATAAATACCTCTCTCTCCCTTTGCTTTATTTTATTTTTTAAAAATCTTTATTGCAACCGAAACTGGTTTGGCTCAGTGGATAGAGCGTCGGCCTGCGGACTGAAAGGTCCCAGGTTCGATTCCAGTCAAGGGCATGTACCTTGGTTGCGGGCACATCCCCAGTAGGAGATGTGCAGGAGGCAGCTGATCGATGTTTCTCTCTCATCGATGTTTCTAACTCTCTATCTCTCTCCCTTCCTCTCTGTAAAAAATCAATAAAATATATTTTTTAAAAAAATCTTTATTGCTGAGAGTATTACAGATGTCCACCACCACCACCACCACCACCACCACCCTTGCCTTTGCTTTATTAGGCTATAGCCAGGGGAAGTGGGGCTGAGAAGTGCAGAGGTCACGCCCAATGCCCAATCCTACACAGATGCCTTGGAGCCTGCCGTCACACCCATCCCTCACTGTATGCGCAGGGTAAGCTGGTTCTAATTCGTCACTTCCTCCATGCTTCCTTATTGGAAGAACCGAATTTCTCTTGTTCCCTTTACTCCTACGAGTTCTAAATAGGGACTTACAACCCAGCCCTTAGTCCCATGGGTATGACAATGTTTCTAATTATAGTGTCTGGCCGCATTATGAAGACAAAACAGGGGTACAGGGAATATACCCCAGCATGTCACATACTCACCTGTACAGCTGCCTTCCTGGTTAAAGTACCCATCCGGGCACTGGGAGAGGCACTGCCCCTCCATCAGCACATGGGAAGGCCAGCAGGCTGTGCAGTTGTGCGGGCTCTGCCCTGCACACCCGAAACAGGATTGGTGACAAGCTGGGAAGACAAAGCAGAACAGACAATCAGGAAAGTCGCCATACGACAAGTGTGGGTGCTCTGTCTCTCCCGTTAGCATTCCTGGGTTGAAACACATTCTGCACATTCATTTCAGTTTCCCAAGGACACATCTCACACACTTCTTTCTAAAGGCCATGTCCTGCGAAGCAAGCATCTGTGGCTCTCCGGTTAAATAAGGCACAAATGCCACAAAGCAGAAATAGCTATTTGCAGAGTCACACATTTCTTTCTTCCCAAGTTCCCATTCTCAGAGAATGTCAAGTAAAGAGCAGGAAATCATAAAAGAGGTCTTCCTTCCCCCAGGACAGCTCCCCCACCATCACCAGACAACGAGCTGTTGATCGGGCTGCTCAAAAATTAAAGAGAACGGTGATGGAAGCTTTACTCGCGGATCCCCCAAAGGTTTATGTGGTACCCGCTCTCTGATCGCACCACACAGGTGAGAAGAACTGGCCAACGTTTTGCACTGCCGAAACTAGCCGCACCAACAGACGCACAAGCAACTATCTGGAATAAAATGAATGGGAGACAGAGAACAGCACAGAGAATAAGAGTGTCACATAGCCACTCTATGTGACCTTGATAAGTTATGTAATTTCTCAAGGCTCCTACTTCCTCATGTGCACAATGAGAATATGAACTATACACTCTGCATGGGGTGTTGTGGACACTAATTGGGTTGATGCATGTCAAGTTCTTATGCTAGTGCTAAACACAGAGTAAGGGTTTAATACATCTTAGCTATAATTATTACCAGTAAACACTTTTACACAAGTACTCGTAGGTTTAGAAAGAAATGTGGAAAGCAAAGAGAAAGAAAACATCTCTGCTGGCCTACATCAGACTTTTAAGGATAAAAGGAATATTTGCACCATTTCCCAAGTGTGGCCAGTGTCTTAATGATGCTTTTTTTTTTATTTTCTGTGTTTCTCATGCTTTGATATCAGGGGCCCTATTGATCCTGGAGAGATTGCCCCTTTCAGGCTAGCCACTTTCTAGAGATGGTAGGTGACTAGCCTGTGAGCACGCCTTTCATCTGCCTACTAATCAGTCCAAAGTCCATACCCCCATCACCTCCTCTGAGGATCATAACTATCCCTTGGTCCTAATTACTCAAATGCTGGGTGCCAGACAGCCCTACACCTGGAGCCCGCTGGAATTATTCAGACTAGCCAATCCTAAGCCTGTGTACCCTGCCTCACTTATTCTTTCCCAGTGAAACCTAAATAAAGGCTCTTGTTTCCTCCTCACTCCCTCGCCTCCTGACCGGCTCAGGTGCTTCCCTGTGTGGCCCCTACATGGAGTAATGTACCCTCTCCTCTGAGGAATGTGACTAACAAACTGTATTTCCAATAGCAATTGTCTGCTAATCTGTTAGCCTTACCAAATCTGAATAAGAAAATAGCCTGATATTCACCTCCAATCATTCACTCATTCCTTACTAGAGGCCTGGTGCATGAGATTTGTGCATGGTTAGGGTCCCTAGGCCTGGCCTGCAATCAGGGCCAATCTTCCCCAGCTGTTAGCAGCTGGTCCCGCCCCCTACCACCACCGCCATGGTTGCCCTCTGTGTGTGGGGCGACCTGTGGGGTGATCAAGGCCCTGGTGCCGCCCATGTCCACCGCCACCCACCCCCAGTTTCCCATTTCCCATCAGGTGATCGGAGTCTTCTGGCCAGGGGCAGGGACCGAGAGATTGGCCAACAGGCCCCAATCTGACGATCGTGGCCTGCGGGCTGGGGGCAGCTCCTGCGTTGAGTGTCTGCCCCCAGGTGGTCATTGCGTGTCATAGCCAACCAGTTGTTCTGCCATCCGGTTGATTTGCATATTATACTCTTATATATATATAGATTATCTGTCAAGAAAGTCTAGGTGCTGGGGATACAACAGTAAGATAAGAACTGGCTCTTACCCTTATAGATGACCCCATGCATTTCAGGGCATGTTCTGTCCAATGGACAAGATCCACTGACTCAGCAACATCACTCTGAGTCCTCTGTGAAATACCCAGAAGACTTACAGACGAACAGCTTGGAAGAGTGGAATGTGATTTTATACTACTGCAGTCTTCAAAAAACCTTCAACAAAAATGTCACCTACAATCTCAGATGTACATGGGGCTGAAATAAGCCGTGCTGTCCTGGCCCAGCAGTACTGGCTGTTACAGTATTAAACTATTGTTATATGGCTGCTCTATGGCCGCTTTCCTAAGCCTTCCAATGGTCCCCTGCAGCTGTGGCTCCACCCTAGCACCCTGACTCATCAATAACCCAGCACCTAAAGGGTTAACACCTGTACAAGGAGCCCTCAGGGCCCTGATCCTGACCCAAGACCAGGGCCCATTCCCACAGTACCCTTACCACCCTGTTTGATAAGTATTTTAATTATTATCCCTGAATATGCTGTAGAGCTTTATATTTATTTAGCAGTTTTTATTACTACATGAAAAACAGAGCTAGAACCACAATTTAAAATAACTTCTTTTTTTCTAGATGACCTTGTTAATAGCTCTATTAGCACAAATCACAATTAGAAATTTTCTTCCTAAGTATTTTCAGAATCACTATAAAAGTGTTTCTTCTTTAAAAGACAAACAGGTAGCCCAGCTGGTGTGGCTCAGTACTTGAGCGTTGACCTATGAACCAGGAGGTCACGGTTTGATTCCCGGTCAGGGCATATACCCAGATTGTGGGCTTGATCCTCAGTGGAGGGCATGCAGGAGGCAGCAGATCAATGTTTCTCTCTTAACATTGATAGTTATATATCGCTCTCTCCCTCTCCCTTCCTCTCTGAAATCAATAAAAACATATTTAAAAAAGACAAACAGGTAAACTGACATTTAAGCAAATATTATTTAAAAGGGTACACATTAGCCCATTATTTAAGACACATTTAACACAAATGAAGCAGCACGCAGTGAAAAGTCAGATGGCAATATGTCAGTAACAGCGAAATTATATTGTTGACACCGAGTTTCCAGGATGATCTGGAGGAAGCAATTAGAAGCAATATAATATTTTCTATTTAAATATTCCTTCAATAATGCCAATATGTTTGTACTAGGCTTTAAAAGATTGTTAAATTTTCTAGTTCTTCCTGTTATACTCCCCTAATAAATAATAAATCAAAGCATCTCATTGTGGAATTGAAAACTAGGGAAATATGAATCAATGCATTTTGAGCACACAGCATATTCCATATCATTCCATTTGGTCACAAAGTCAATGTGATAACCTGACTCAATGTGAATAAGGATATTACTGAATTATATAAGGAAAGCAAAGAGGACCAAGGAATTGAAAGGCAATGGACCAAAAATTCCAGGGGAAAGTCCCTTTGCCACTAACTAGACCTTAAAGAAATACGCCCCAATGAACTGATCACCATGGCAGCCTTCAGAACTACCTTCACTGGAAATGCTCAAGAGCCAGGTGGGAAATCAGCTAAACTGTCATGTGGCACAGAGGGGAAAGGTGACCATCCTCTCAAAGTGCCTTTTTCTCTATCATGCTCTATTTCTGTAAAGACAGGCAATCGCATCTGCATCTTTACCACAATCTTATAAAACTTTAATTCTGGTGGTGGAAATGTCCACACCATCTCACTGACTTTTATGAGGCCTGATCATTCCGTGGACGCTGACTTCATAGCCAGCGTTCTGGTGTGAAGTCTAAGATCCTTCAAGGAAGAGTAACTTCATTACATAGTATATATGGAAAGGATTGGAAAGAAGGTCTATGAATTATTTCTCCACATACTACGACATTTTTAGAGAGTAGCTTTCCAGTTGATGGCTAAGTATATTTCTGAAGAAGCAGAAGTGAGCTGCTTAAGTACTAAAAGTGTCCCTTAGATGGTTGTAAAGTCCAGTTGACCTGACTCTGGTAAATAAATAAATAAATAAATAAATAAATAAATAAATTTACCTAAGACAAATATTATCATTTTTTATTTGCTCAATTTTCTATTTAAATTAGACAGCAAACACCACTACTTATTTTTTTTCCCTTTTAATGATATAAAGAGTAGTCCAGCATGCATATTTTTATATCATATAAGATTTCCTGGCTTTTCATGTCAAAACAATTTTTGAGGTAGGCCTCTCCCGAATTATGATGTAAATATGAAAATTCTCTATGATATACGGTATGAGTACTGTCATAAGAAATGAAAACTGAAATGAGTGAAGTCAAATAAAATCAGTTTCCCTCTTCCCTTCACCCTCCTATTCCTTATTAATGAACATGATTTCACCTAAGTATATTGGGAATGCCTTAAGAGTAAAAATCACATCTTTTCCATGGAAATATTGGCAATAAACGCTTCTAATTCTATTTCTTTGGTCATTTCTTTTTTGCCTTTCTCTATTTATGTCATGAATATTAGAGCGTCCCAAAATTGCACCCTCTGCCCTTTTTCTTCTCATTCTCTGGCAAACTAATTCACAGCTTTAATGATGCCCTACATGCCGGTGAGTCCTAAATTTATGTGTACAGCTCTGACTTTTAGTCTGAACTCCAATCACATAAATCTAACTGCCTAAGGGATATTTTTACATGGTGTTTCATCAGTACCTCATACTCCAAATTTCTAAAATACTACTCATTACCACTTCCAAGCTCAACCCATACCTACTTAGTGTAAATTATGTCACATTCCTTCTCTCAAAAACTGTACTTATCAGCCACCACCAACCCCACATCCTCTCCCCTACCTGGTCTCTCTTTTGTATTCTCTGCCTCACTTGGTAGCCCCAACATTCACCAAGAAACTCGTGCTGAAAACCTTAGACTTCTACTTTCCATCACTACAACACATCCAAGATACATTGATTTTTACTTCTTAAGTCTGTTACATCTAGCTCAACCTCACCATCCCCTGGTCCCTCACTCATGATATAAGTGCCAAAGCTTCCTAACCAGCCCCACTCTGTTTTCATACTTACCTGCCATATAACCATCAGATAGATCTTTATAAAAT